GTTTGTGACCCCATCTTCGTTTCCAACGGCGCTGAGACAACTTCTTAGGTAGTTAAATTTTTGAACGGTTTCTAGCCTATCCCCACCAAGGGTCAGTGTAGGAGGTGATCCCTGCCAATCTTTAAGCAAACTTTTGCATTTAAAGGGTGCAAAGCATAGTCTGAAACGGTTGACAACCAGTTCTAATCTGTCCAGAGCCGCTTGGTACGTTTGTGAGCTGTCACAGATGTAGGCAATGTCGTCAGCATACTCCAAGTCAGGAAGTCGTTCACTTGGGAGCAGTTCCATACTTTCTAAGTCGTGTCCTGTGAACCCGATTTCCATGACTTCATCAATAGCGAAGTTGAAGAGGAGAGGTGAAAGCGGGCATCCTTGTCTTACACCGCTGAAGATATTGAATGGGAGAGACAACTTACAATAAACCCTCACTCTGCCCGAGCTACGCGCATATAGCGCTCTGATAATATTGACATATTTCTCAGGTACACCTTCCTTGAATTGGCAGTTCCAAAGGGCACATCGATCAACCAAATCGAAGGCACATTTGATGTCGAGGAACACGACAACGATGGGCCGCCAAAATATGTGATGGTGCTCCAACAAATGGCAGAAACTGAAGAAGTGATCGACGGAGCCCCGGCCTCGACGAAACTCAGCTTGCCCTTCACTAATCTGGCTTCCACGAATGCCAATAATTTGGTGAAGGATTACAGAGGCAAGCCATTTGCTGGCGATAGAAATCAGATTGATTCCTCTGTGGTTGTCGTTTTCCGAACATGAGCCTTCCTTCAGAATTGGGACTAGTACAGAGTGGCTCCAGTCGGTTTGGACAGTTTCCTGCTCTCACAATTTCACTGGTGTACATCATCGACAAGAGCCGTTCCCCATAATTTGAAGAGGACTTGATGAAGATAATCAGATCCCGCGGCCTTATTCAGCTACAACAGTTCGATTTCTCCTTGACTTCTGTGCTAGAGGTCGGATCCAATGAGACAGCCCAGGGAGCAAAGCGATCAGTAGCCGGCGAGGAATCTAACTATTCCTGTCGATTAAATTGCCTTTCAAACTGCTCATCCCAACACTCCAAGCGTTTTGACAGATTGTGGATAGGCTATCCACTCTCATCACGTATGGTTTCAACAACACCAGCTTCTCATATCAGACGGAATAACTTTCAATGCTTACCAAGGGCAGCGGCCACTTCCATATCTGACGCATGACGAGACCACTAAGATTCGCAGTCTCACTTCAGACTGGCACTTACTTTAGCCCTGAGGTCTTTGCTAGTCTCATTGTGTTCGCTTCCATTCCGAATGTACTAGAGAGCATGGATAAGTCCCAGAGATCGCGAAGAGACCCAATCTCCAAGTTGGCCATTTGAATTACCACATGAGGGGTTGTCTGCTGCTAGTAAAGTCTGGTGAACATGCGACCAGTGACCTACAACTGTATTCACTGATCGATTACCTACTCGGAATGCTAAGATGCTTCGGTACGCGTTCAGAACATCTGGCTTAGCCAGTTGCTTGGTGTCAATGCGCTCACACCGTTGTTGTGGACCTCTGCCAAAAAGGCACCCGCATAGCAGCTCATACAAGTGCATGGTCAGTGTCCACACATGTGCTCCAAATCGGACGACAGTTTTGTAGGCAGCCTTTCCAGTGGAAACTGATTGCAATGTGATCGACTTGCGTCCAACGCAGGTGGGCACCATGTCACCCACCTGCGCATGCTGTGTCGGAAGTGTGTGCTCGTAAGAAATAGGCGAGCATCTTCACATAAATGTAGTAGTCGCTCACCGTCATCATTTCGGAAGCCTGCATCATGTTGGCCGCCCAGATGATGCTCATCGGTGGACAAGTTTCCAACTTGAGCTTTCAGGTCCCCAACCAGCACTACAGTATCTATGCTTCATCTGTGACGAAAGAACTCGTTCACTTGGCGATTGAAGTCTTCTTTTAACAAGCCATCGTTACAGTTTGTGGGCGCGTAAGCAGCGATAGCGAATAGACACTTGTTAGTCCCGCGCGACTTCGAAGCTTTGAACGAGCCAGTCAGTCAGATCATACATATCCGGTTACTGATTGGAATCCAGTTAACCAGAGCAGCTTCAGCCCGAATATTCAGGACAAGAGCACCACTGGCTTGGCCAGCACTGGAAGCTACATCGTCTCCGAATAAGCACAATGAGAAAGCACTGATAGTGTCACCTGAAGCGGATCGCAAACCGAGCACAGAGCTCGAGTCTTGCAAACGGGTTTCCAATGAGCAGCAGATATCGATCGTGTCTCTAAAGTATCGCCAAGTGCTGCATATTGACCGATCAGTAATAATGTGCGTACCTTGAGGCATGTCATTCTGTGGGAGAATCGAGAGCTCTAAATAGAAGCCGATGGAACTGGGCCTAATCGCTTGGTTGGACATGGGCTTGTCAGAAGAGCAAGTGTGATGCTCCACATTCACATATGAGTTTAAACTAGAAGATAAACGCCTATTAAAGCAAGGTAGGGGAGTGTTAAGAATTGGTTTAAAACGGTGGGGATAAAAGTGAATTCGGAACGGGACGAAAAGGGCGAAAAAATCGCAAGAAGGAAATAAGAACACGGGAAGGCTTTAGCAGTAGCATCCAAACCTCTATCCACTCCGTTCGACGCAGCAGATAGCGTGCCGTTGATTGTTCTCTGCGGCGTCTAGAGCATGAAGGTCACCTAGAAACGCTTACCTCATTGCAAAGAGCATAAAACACGGCGGAATTGCGGCTTCTCATCTCCACTAGACCTATATTAATGTGTTCGATTAAGACGACAATGACAAAGTAGTGCATATCCCACTGTTTATACAAATTTACCTGTGGCTGTGGAGATAGCTACGTCGGGCACACTGACTGAAGTCTAGGTGTCAGAATCAATGGACACGTCCCAAACTAGTTAAGCAGCCGCATGGGATCTGTGACGACGCAATCAGTTGACTCGGGAAACCGAGGTATCTCAGTAGTCACCGCGCACTTGCTGGCTACTGGTCACCGAATCGTTCCCAGTCCTAATGCGCGATCAGCGGCCCCAAATCCTTAGGCTATTGGAGGCTATCGTTATCGATCGCGAACGACCACCGCTGTGCATTCAAAAACAGCTGACAGTGGCTCTAAGCCTACCGTGGTAGCCCATCCGTTTTGCTATCTATGATCACCGTTTGTTTGTTCTAATGTTGCATGTTATTGTGATTGACAAGAATGCACGAAACGACGGCGTCATCTCACAACCTACGCCTTCACATTTTATGTTTGCATAAAAAAATTGTTTAATGAAAAGTTCATTGTACTGTGTTGGCAGGATACTGCCAAGTTGCCCAGGCCTAAACAGGAAACTGATTAGAGTTCTCAACCAAAGCTTTTGTTCAAAAACCTGACCGCAAACTCAGTGTTTGTCAGTAAGCTACAAGGAGTCCGTATTATGGAGTGAGGAACCACCCTCACTCCAACTCCCAACCTGGAGGACCAGGAGGCTGAGTTTGTCTGGCCTCTAATCATTGACCAATCTGGTATGAGTAACTCTGAAGATGTGAAAAGCGCCACCCATCACAGGTCAATGGATCACTGAGGCACGCAAACTATCGCACCACAAGAAGGTCCACCCGCATTGCAATTTGAGATTTGCAACATACTTCCAATGAGACAACTTTCAAGAGCAACCACTGATAGTCGATTGCGTTTGAGTTTAATGCCACAAAGAAGTTGAGTCCAGTCAAGAGTATCGCGCCGTTGGCTTTACTGTTTATGAAGCTCCTCTCCTGTACCTGGAACTCCACCTAAGACTCTGGCTAAACACAACGCTCAACTTCATTTTGATTTTATCTCGGCCGCCGCAAGTGACAACACCGATTGGAACACCCCATAAACACCTACCTATTCCTCCTATGGCAGAGGTTGTCTCACAACGTTGCGATATTGCATTGTTAGCACTCGAAGGTTCGCTGTGTTAGAACCGATGTTAGAACAGATGTCTGTCATTATGTTCTAGCACACTAACTACCTCCGCTGACTTAAATGCTTGCATTTCTGCGGACATTTCACGTTTGTGTCCACCTGTGTTGCTTTCCCGGTGGAATGCATGATGACGTCTAAGGGGCTGTTCGTGGTCGACTGATCACTGCTTGGTCAGCTTACGTTTACTAGTGATTTCATTTAACCAATGCTAGATCGAGTTGCATGCTCAGTAAGTTCGATCAATGCGTATATTCTAACACATTCTTGGCGCTCCGCCACGAGGAAAAGCCAGTTGCGAATCGTATCAGTGAAGCTAAGCGTACCCCATAAATAACATGTCGTTTTGCAGTTACTTGATTCCTATCATGGCCAAGCACTTGTTTCTTTCTTTAAAGGGTTGTAACCGCAGGTTGAATTTGTTTCTCTACCTCTAGACTATTTGGTTCCCATTCTGAAGAGAATTTCGCTCTCCTAAAACAAAGCTACTCCAAGATTGCCGTCGGTTACTCGGCATTACCTTCACTTGAAATCAGGTGGAGAGGGTGCGGTTATTCACGCACAGTCCCCCTGACCATATTGTCATCGAAAAAGCAGAGATGGCATATCCCTTGTGTACCCAGTTATGCATTGTGAGTGCGGACGAGAGCTTCTCGTGGACCCACAGGAGTCGTAGTATAGGGGTTTCAGGGTGAAATAGGGTTCCTTTATTACACCGTTAGGACACCGCTCAGTTGTGGGTGACGCTACCATCAAACACAGTTAGTTGAACCGAGGGTAGCCTTCTGATTTGCAGGAGCGAGCATCATCAGTCGTCTGCTTACTTCATATCGTTCAAGTCACTGACAAAGCACTAACCACTGGTCAACGCATACTCTGGTTGGGCTGGAACCAACCTAGTTTTTAATGATTGAGTTGTCTCTGAAACCAGTGAGTCGCTGTAATTCGTTTTGAATATGACGGCAATGAGGCTTCTGCTTCGCGACACATTCCACATAACTTTCCACAACCATTTGCACACATGCAAACGACAGCTGATGACCTCTTGTTTGATGACGATTCCTCGGAAAAAGCAGACGAACTGACCACGATGGAGTCACCGTCACATTTCCTCATTACTCTAAGACAGTTGTCGAAGTCAGACGCTTCGTTTCATCTCATTAACGCTGACTCATACGAGATCTCATCGATGCTTGGGGGCTTGGGTTCTATGTCCGGTACGGCTTCTGTCAACCCGGCTGACACCATAGGCACATCGATCCAACGGAATCGCTCCTTAGCTTGTTCAACTTCAGGAACCCGAGAGTGAATCGTCTGCCCATCCTTCCCATCTATTGTCATTAACTATAGCCTTACTTGGTATCGTCCTTTTGCTAGGGTGGAACAACACCAGTTTGTACCACTAGACACCAAAAAATTGTTCCATTTCATGAATTCTCGCCATCATTAACTGTCTTCCTCAGTTACCGTTCCCTGATACTCATGGCGCTGTGAAACTGGCTGTGTAGTGGAAAGGTTTTTGAACCTCAAGTATGATGATCGACCTCTCCGCCTCATTCACTATCCAGCTAACATAATCTGGACGGGCAGGTGTCTTGAGAAGTCTTGCTCCTGACGCGTTGAGATGATTCCAATTGTTGCTTGATTCTCCCATCTCGCAAATTAGCAACAGATAGTGTTTCCGTTCAGCTTGACTTCGGGGTCTTATGGATTTTGAGTTTTTGTGTTCTGTAGGGTATCCAATAGTTGGGTTATTCACTTTTCTGTCTATGAGCTTTAATTAGCAAAGAAAGAAAAAGTAGGGTGTCACTGCACCGACGTTTCGTGGCCACGCAACCATCACCAGTCCCGCGTGAGCTCGATATATTGCGAGGTCGCTTATGCCTATTCGGATTCAAGCCGGTAGCTTCCAGCTTACAAGGTGGGTGCCCATTCCTTTCGGCCACTAGCCGACGATGGGCGTTAAGTAACCTGATGCGAACCCGTACATTGGATAGCTGTACTATTGGTCGGCATACTATGGATGAAACAGATTCACGCCATCTTAGCGGCCTTTGATCAACAACTCACTTTTGTTCCAGATGATCGATCTGTCGACTTGGAGTAGTATGCCGACTACATTACCCCGATCTGTGACGACTCACAAACATAACAAGCAGCACTGAACAACAGGGGTAATGGGTTATGTAAGATGGTGAAGCGAAATAAGTGCACGGCCAACTCGGGCTGTGAACTCTGTCAGGGTGGGAGCACACATGACTGATTCCGGTAGGGCATTCCACGTACGGCAAAAGCGTACGGAAATGGAATTACGACGGCATTCCAAGCGACTGTGCTGCGCCGTCAGGTTGAAATAGTGACTTCTTAAATTCCTCCATTCACCCCTATCAAGCTCTTTGGCTTCTACCACGGGGACACTGTGTATAAAGATAGATATTGCGACTTGTTGTTTAGAGAAGTCATCCAGAGTTAGTTTGCGTTTCCGGCCTATGCTCCAAGGAACACCTGGTAAAATTTGAGTATTGCATGGGGTGGTACGGAGAGTAGTGTGGCGGTAGACTGGCACAGGAAATTATTGAGAATACCTGTAGCTCGGGATGTGGATGAGAGAATTGTCTTGTTCTCCGAGCCGGGCATTTCGGTTGCAGACGTTTCGTTGCTAAACTAGGCAACATCTTCAGTGCGGCTATTCAGTCCTGATTCGCGGTCTCGCAAACCAATGTCAGATCCGAGTGACTATTGATTTTTGCCTGCTTCGAATGTCAGCCTTCGATCTGTTCACGTGAATTGGTCGAGTGGGCACCTCTTCTCCTTGTCGATCTGGTGCCTAATGCTGGCTTAACCTGCAGAGCTTCATAGACACCCTCCAGCTCCAGTGTTTGTTGATTGAGTTCCGGCCAGAATGCCAGGCCTCGAGGAACTCACGCGCTCTGCGGTTTCTTGCTTTTCCAACTATTTCAACGTTCTCCAGATCAATGGACAATGGACAATGGTTTATTACGGGTAAAAAAGCATCGCTTAACAAGTCCCGTGGGATGGAAATTATTGCGAAAATCAATTGCATAATAAAGTGAAAAGCGTTGTGGTGGACTCACCATAGACTTATGTGGAATAGCGGAGATGTTCGCATATCAAACGTATAAATCCAAAAATCCATTGGTTAGGCGTTTGGCAAGAAACCGTTTGGTTGCGTTTTGTAGCCCCTGGCTAACAAGTCATAAAATGAAATGTAAGTGAGACAATGCATCGTCAACACGTTTTTTAAACATCGCCAGATTGGGAGCAGAGACGACATAAGTAGGGAGGGCGTTCCAAGGCTGGCACACGCGGAGAGAAAAGAAATTTCTACGGCATTCAAGCCGGCTATAATGAATTGTCAGTTCCAGAGGGTGACCTCTTAGTTTAGTGTTGTGGTTCAATTCCAGCAGCGGACGGCAAATGTGGTTTGGGTTCTTCAGAATCTGGTAAACCATTATGAGATCCCCCCGCAAAAGCCGATATCGACCACTGTATATTCTTAGAGATTTCAGTCTAAGCTGATAGGGCAGATGAAAGAGGCCCCTGACATTCTTGGTTGCTCGTCGTTGAGGAGTCTCGAGAGCAACGAGATCCTGTTTCTGCCACGGCTGCCACGCCTGAATAGCATATTCCACGTGAGGTCGCACGTAGGCATTTGGGGAAAGATTGATGGTTCAAACCGACCGAAGGCTCTGCGAAGAAGGCCGAAGTGTTGATTTCCGGTTCTCCTCGCCTTCTCTGCTTGTTTTGAACACCCGAACTGATGGTTCTCGGTATCCATGTGGGCTGACATTAAGGATTTTCATCGTGGCGACGGATGGCCAGAATATGTTAGACAGTCTTGTGCCAATTTTCCTTCCAGTCTGGCCTACGTAATTCTAGTCACAGTTCTCGCAGAAAATATTTAAACTACACCCGCTGCTTCTTTCTTAGATAGATTGTCCTTCACCTTAAAAGTTTACTTCGTATGGTTTCCGTTGCTTCGTGTGCAACAGCTATCCCGTGAGGCATTAGAAGCCTCGGTGTCATTTCAGAAATCCCATAGATGTTGGTAGGATAATCGTTCTTCTTTCAGTTGCACATGTGGATACGGGTTGTGACTGGCTCTTCGACATCAGGCAGCGTAGAATAAAGCTTCTAGGGTACGAATTTCGCTGAAACATGCTAAATAGGTGCTCTTCCTCGCCTTCCTCAGTTGCGGCTCGCTACACTGTGCCTGGGCTCGTTTGAAAAGCGTCCTCACGCAACTTCGCTTGTATATGGTCGGATGGTTACTGTGATAGTTTAAGATCTGATCGGTGTGGGTCGCTTTCCGATAAACTGTTGTTTCCAGTGTCCCAGAAGTATGTCGTCTCCCGAACACGTCCAAGAATGGCAACTGATCATTGTTCTCTTCCTCTTTGGTGAAATGGATGGCGGAAAATATATTGTTGATTAGTTGATGTGTTTCTTGCGGTTTGGAGCTTTTGAGGATGACAAAAGTATCATCTACGTAACGTACCCAAAGTTTGGGCTCCACTTTTGGTAATGCCTTCTCTTCCAAGCTTTGCATCACTGCCTCCGCTACCAGTCCAGAGATTGGCGATCCCATTGGCGTACCCGTTATCTGTTTGTACATTTGACCGTTGAAACTGAAATGTGTGGTGAGACAGAAATCAAGCAACTCCATCATTTGTGTGGCTTCAATTCGGTTGCTGGTATTTACCGCTCCGTGTTGTTCAAGCAGAGTCCTCATTGTTTGTCTTGCCAATGTCGTGTCAATTGATGTGAACAAAGCTGTAACGTCAAAAGAGACCATTATATCGTCTCTTTCTATTGTTATTCCCAGGGAGTATTCTGCGTAGCGGACGATGTGTTGGTTTTTGGCGCTAATCGTGAAGAGCACGATCAGAACCTTCGTAGCTTTTTACAACGTTGTGTTGAAAGAAACATCAAACTGAAACGCGAAAAGATCGAACTAAGCAGTACAGAGGTTGTATTTCATGGGCATGTGTTAAGCGCGGAAGGGCTAAAACCAGACCCTGAGAAAGTAAGAGCTATAAGAGATATGCCGTCCCCCACAGATGTGAAAGCGGTTGGCAGGCTAAATGGGATGATCAATTATCTGAGCCGGTTCCTGCCCAAGTTAGCTGTTGTTATGACACCGATCAGGAAGTTGACTCATAAGGGCGAAAGCTGGCATTGGGGTGCGGAACAAGAAGAGGCCTTCCAGGCAATCAAGGAACTCATCACTAACGCACCTGTTCTCGCCTATTATAATCCACAACTCTCCCTCGAGATTCAATGCGACAGCAGTCAATTTGGTATCGGGGCCGTACTCATGCAGAATGGGAAACCCATCGATTTTCGCAGTAGGATGTTGACAGAGACCGAGCGTCGTTACGCCCAGATAGAAAAAGAGATGCTTGCAGTGGTTTACGCCGTCGAACGTTTTAATGACTATACATTTGGCCGGAAGACTACAGTGTTTACAGATCACAAACCGTTGGTTTCCATCGCCAACAAGCCGCTACATGTTGTTCCCCGCCGCTTACAGAGAATGCTTATTCGCCTTCAAAAGTACGACCTAGAAATTGTGTATCGACCTGGTCCCGAAATGCATATCGCAGACACATTATCCAGGGCATATCTGTCAGACAAACAAGAGGAAGACGAAGATTCAGGTTTCTTTCATGCAGCACAACTAGTAGCTGTTACCGAGGAGCGATTGAAACAGCTCCAGCAGTGCACGGAGGAAGATGGGTTATGCAAGCTACTGAGGCAGACAATACTAAGTGGCTGGCCCAAGAACAAGAAAGATCTACCAGGAGAGCTGACCCCGTTTTTCCATTTTCTTGATGAACTCATTGTCCAAGATGGGTTGATATTCAAAGGCAATAGGATACTAATCCCCAAAGCGTTGCAGCGCGCGATGACAGAGCTTGTCCACTATGCACACTTGGGAGTCAACAATTGTGTGGCCAGAGCGCGAGAGCTAATGTTTTGGCCGGGAATGACCAGCCAAACACGAGATTGCGTCTCAAATTGTCTGGCATGCCGAACACATGATGTACGTCAGTCAAAAGAACCGATGATGCTCCGTGACGTTCCGGACAGGCCCTGGCAGATGGTTGCAGTAGACATCTTCATCCACGATGGAAAAAGTTACTTAGTGTTGGTTGATTATTTCTGTGACTACTTTGAAATCGATGCTCTTGCT